TCTGAGGGTCTGATTACTACTCACTATGAGGTCTGTGAGGTAGTCGTCCTCGTAACTGTCACCGTGCTTTTCTTCTTTCCCATTGACTGACAGAGTGTAGTTGTAGTACTGAGAGTTTCCCACCTGTAAATGCAGCAAAAGGTGTCATGACAGAAGTACTTAGGAGAAATTGTGCATGTACATGTTACTTGTGACTCACCAGTGCATGCCACTGGTCCCAGCCAGGTGGAATATGGCCAACACTTCCTGCTGCTTTGCTACCATACTGAAAGTAGAAGGTACAGTTAGCTCAGTCAGCTTCAAGAGAAATGATGTAACAAGCATCTTCAGGGCTTCATACAGACAGTCCTGCAGAATACTGTTTTGTAATGAGTCAGTCATCACTGCTGAGTCGCCTTGTGGGACTTGTGTATCTCCATTAGCTGTATCTGCTGACTGTGATATGTCACAGTCTCTGCCAAATACGTGAGTGAATAAAATGAAAACACAACACAAACACTGTTGGGCTCCCAACAATATTTCAACATTTAGAACAGGAAAAATCAGTCGTAAGCACGGTGTATTCATTGTACTGCCTGTGTGTTTTGAAGTTTGGAAACATTTGGACGTGTATAATGCTTATAAAAGTATATACATGTACAAACCTGGTTAAGATACTTCCCAGAAAAGAATGTCTGGTATTTCAGTTTGTTGAGGTAGGTGGGGAAGGCCTCTGCCTCGGGGCCTTTCTGCCACTGAAGGCTGGAGCAGTTCCCATTGAGGGAGTTGTTTCTCACCTCGTGATTGTGAGGGTATCGACCTGTCAAAATACTGCTCCTGCTGGGGCAGCACAGTGGCGTGACTGTGAACTTCGCAGGAGGAGGAAGTGAGAACAGGGGGAAAGGGGGGGGGAGAGAGAGAGAGAGAGAAGCGTGACAGTAGAAAGGAGGATATGCGACTCATTTATTGTGTAATCACTGGTGCAAACAGTGATTCAAGAACATTTGAGTTTTGCTTTCATACACACATCGTGTGCCATATCTTTGATTATTGTCTTGCAATGTATGTGGTTTTGCAGATTTGATGTATCTGATTCATTATTATCATAATATCTTCGTTACCATGGGCAACATATCAGAATATTATATATTGTATTTGTCTGTGATTCCCACCAATTGCTCTGACACTTCAAGAAAAGAATTTTTCTTTGTTAGTCAAACTGCTCACATCTGAAAAATGACAGGATTCCCCAAGTAGACACTTGTAAAAGGAAGTCATAATAAGTACGTTTGGGAACCAGTGGTTCAATTTTTACCAACATATATTGTTTCATAAACTTGTAATGTGATCTATTGTGTGACACTTCAATCTACAAGTAATTACAACTGTCGTAAAATATAATGTAATAAAATAAATGTCTCCCTGTGAAATGTAGTCTAGTAAAAGTATATGTACTGCATAAGATACTCACAGAATTCACAAATGTTGCTCCTTCGTCTCCTATATAGGCTTTTGCCTTCTTCATTGGTGTCTGTACAATAGAAACAGACAAAGTGACTCACACCATAATGACAGTACTGGAGAAGTAATAGATGCTACAAGCACAAACTCAAAACATTATGACAGTATTAGCTATTGTCGAAACATCTACTAGAAAGGCGCATAAAGTAATCTCTTTTAGCTAAACACTTGATCAGCTGACCATTTTTCTGTGAATGGATCTTTGTGGATTATTCAAATATCTGGCAGTTCCAAACATCTGGTAAAGAATCTCACAGGACCTAATAAGAACAGGTACCAGCTTTTGAAAACACATTAAGTGCATTCCAGATTTCTCCTTTTTTTTAAAAAAAAAAAAAAAAAAAATGCTTTCAATTCTGAGCAAAATATTGCAAACATAAGTGTGCTTATACTGGAGGTACCTTTAAGGTTGCACGTCACTTATAAGCAAAAATACACACAGGAACAGATGTAGGACTTGAAACAGGAATAGAGTTAACTGAGCAATTGTTTCAGAACGCATCTGCTTTCCAAGCATGTTAGAAGCTGAACTTAACATTTAGGTTAAAAACACTTGCTGTAACTTCCAGAGTTTCAAATAGCTTCATTCCAAAACCAAGTAAAGGTCCTAACAAAATTTCATTAAAAATGCTATTATTTCATGTAGAAAACATCCGCATGTTGTGTAGAATAGATATCAACTGAAGGTCCTAGGCCCTCGGGCCTGGCTGTAGTTTCGTGTAATACAAACCTGTACCACAAGATACTGTAGCCATAATTTAACGCTGCAACTCATAAAAACACGTTGTTTTTTTCCAATGACGCCTGACAAAAGAAAAAAAAAATGTATGAAGAGCGTGGGTGGCACACTCGTGCACTATCGCCTCACACCAGCCCAGCAAACACCTTTGATGAAACTTTTAGTTAACACATATGTACAAACTAATTACAAAAATGACCTTTAAGTTCAGTCTCAGATCAATACTGTGACCGCACACTTGTATCTCATATTTTGACTCTACTGACTGTCCAGCTTTAATAAATTCGCATAAATTGCATTTTCTAATTGTTAGTTTTATTTGCTCAATTTTATCATTTTTTATATATCCAGCCTGTCTTTCTCTAAAGTCATAGATTTTCCACAATTCTTGTAATTCTTTCATCATCTAAGACAGTTCAGCTATTCAACTAACTGATTAACAGGTTCAAAGCACTGAGGAGGTTAAATCTGAGAGCTAGTCCGCAAAACAGAAAGAAAATAGAGCGTGTGTTTGTCTAAACTCAGTATCAGGTGACCATAAACAGGACGTTTCAAACAGTATGAGCACTGCATGACCTCACTACAGAAACTGTCAAGTCTCTGAGGAACCGACACGAATGACAGGTTGTATATTTCTAGAGTGAATTCACTCACCATCCCACCTATCTGAACATCCTGGTCGTCGACAAGCACGAGGATAATGTTGCTCGGTTTGTCGCTTTCTGCACACCTGACGCCGCAGGTGAGCAGCGCAGACAGCAGCGTGACCAGGGACAAGGCAGCGGAGTGTCCGCCTCCTCTCTGTGGGCTTCTGGTCGCACCAGCTCTGATCCTCAGGTCTGCCATTGAGACACCACAGCGCCGGGCCTGGTGCTACACGAAGCCACCGCTGCCGTTCAGCAGCTTTGCTTTCCTGTACAGGAGAGGCTTGCTGTAAAATGAGCGCGATCCGGCTGGACCGGACACACTGGTAGTTTTAAAGTTTGAGGAAGTGGATTAAGAGTCTGCGATCATATGATCACACTAAGTGGGAGGAGAGAGGACTGAGAACACCGTGTACAGCACGGCTTCAGAGTGCTTTTATTACTTTAGTTTGCATTTATTTAAGTTTAATAGTGACATTAAGTCACCAAGCATAACAAAACCAATCTTGAAATATTACAAGATAAAATATCCTTTACTAATCCCGCATCTTGAAAATATTTTGACGCTAACATGTTTGCACCGTTAAGCTATTTAAGTATTAAGGATTTCCATTCAAAGATCTAAATTATTTTTTATTATCTTTGCCATGACAGGGACGCCAGCTCCCTTAAACAAAACAGCAGAGTGATCCATGTTCAGCAGACATAACAACAGGATGAGGATCCAGGTGTGCAACTGGCCTCCCTCCTGAACTTTTTTAGGTGGATTATGAAACTAAAACATACAACAAAGACAGTCCAGGAATATTCAAATTCGAAATTGAATAAAATGAGTGCTATGCTTTCAGAACTAACAGCTAACAGTTGTAACAAACCTAAACCTAAACACTGGTATTCGTATCTATGTGCAAAATCACGATATGTCACATTAAAATCCCTTAAAATGGTGACATGATCAAATAAACTCATATAGTAATCCAATCTACGTTCCTCTGTTGTTGTTTTTTTTTACTTATGAAAAGAGATTTCTCTACTGATTGCTCTATGTATCTAATCAATCAAATCTTTGCGCTTCCTTTTGCTGTAGCCTGAGCTACAACTGATAAATGAAATGATTCAGCAGCTAATTGTAGTTTTTATTTCTTTTGGTTGGTTTTACTTTTTGTTTTCACACTGGACTGAGCAAATACAACAATATTATCACAAAATAAAAAATATCAGTAGATATAGTTTAATCCAAATAAAACACAATTCTGAAGTTTGCAGAAGGTACTAGAGGGAAGGGAGAAAATAATATTGATAAATTGATGCATATTTTTCATTTTCGAGACTTAGGTCACTCTATCTCACATAATCAAATAAGACTTTTAGAGCATTTTCAGTTAAACCTTCTCTAATTTCATATGAACTATATAAATGTACTTTATTTTGAAGCATTGTGAAATTGAAATGAACTGTGAAAATTCATTTAATAGAGAAATTCAACCCACTATTTTGTTACTGCAATTTTTTTTATTAGTGTGTGCTCAATTATGGGACAGGACTGCTTGATTTATTTATTTTCATATTCTGAGTAGCCAGTACTGATGTATATGTCCAAAATTACAGATTCAGATTCATTCTGATGGTAATAAAGACCAGTGAAATTTTGAGACTTTTATTTTCAGACTTTTACCCTAGATTTCTTAGGACTGTGCAGGCACAACAAAACAAACAGATTAGTTTATTTAGCAGTCATTAAAATGGATTCAGAAGTTGCAAATTGTTGAAGACTCACTTCATAAATCATGTCAAACTGATGTCTCCTATATAAACAGTCTTTATACGTTAAAAGCGCCGGTAAGTATCAACAATGCTGTACCTGCACTTATCGCACACCACTAAGGTTTATGGATGTAGTAAAGGAGGATATGGAGAGAGCTGGTGTAATAGAAGAATATAGAACAGATAGGGTGAGATGGATACATACTGCGTAACCAAGTAATAAAAAATAAATAAATAATAATAATAATGATGGACGTGGAGGTCTTATAAATAAAATAAAACCTTCCGATCGTTTCCAGTCGGAATTATTTTGGTAGTGCACAGGAGGAGTGACGAGACACCGGTGCAGCAGCTACACAGCTGCATCCGGTCGCAGTCATTCACGTTTGTTACTGAAATTGGGGTTCTTTCCCCACAAACCTACCTCACAGCTTAAACCTCACCCAGTGAGTCAGGTTCATTTATGTAGGTTACAGTGTCGTATGTTTAGAAGTGGTAATTTTATCAAAAATAGTTAAAGAAAAAGACAAGCTAGGAAAACAAACGTCATGAACGTGTGACTAAAGTGAACCGGACCTGGTGTCAAACTACCCAGTGAGTTCTATTAAATAGTTTTGTTGTGTACCATGGTGCCACTAAAACGAAGAAAAACTCTCCCCTCGGATGCTGGGAATACTGTGAGTGACAGCAGTGGACATAAGGTACCAAACAAGTTCTCTCAAGTTGTTTTGTTCTTGTTGGAAAGAAAAATGGGAGCCAGCCGAAAATTTTTCCTCTCTCAACTCGGACGAAATAAAGGCTTTCAGGTGGAGGACGTGTTCAGGTGAGAAGTGTCACAAATCCACTGATACAAATGTCACGGGAAAGCAAGTATAACTTGAAAAAATGTAGGTTTTGCGGAAGCCTAAAATGAAATGTATTAAGGTAAATATCTGTCTTCAAACCCTCCTTCACAGTATCCAAAGAGCATGAGTCATTTTACTTTTAATCTACTGTTTCTCCACAGTGAAAGTGTCACACATGTTATTTCTGAGAATAACTGTGGAACTGAGGTCAGGACGTGGCTAAAGTCTCAGGGAAGGGGTCAAAGCCTTAGAGTTCACCTCCTGGACGTCAGCTGGTACACAGAGAGCATGCGTGCAGGTTATCCTGTGGAGATAACACACAGACATAAACTACAGGTAGATTTTCATTTTACACATCCATGATATCAAAACCGAAAATCTGAGGCTTTGTTTTGTAGTAATAAGCGTTTTCACTGAATGTAAATATGTACTAAATAAATACAAGCAGTTTATAGTAATAGTAACCTATAGAGCAACTCTCTGATGATAAAGTGACAAATCACATATCATGCGTAAAATGCTTTTAGTTGCCATTAGGGAGTAATTGCACTGTGACACCATCAGTCTTTTATTGACACTAAATTGCCAAAAATGACTTTTTGTTTCATTGATCTGTGATCAGTAACTATGAAGTCTATTAAGTTTTTCATCATTAGCTGAGTGAACTCATAGAAGATGGTAAATTATAAATGGAATTTAGAAAGGCTCACATCTATTTTTTATAAGGTCCCACTATTTTACATTGTATGTCAGGACAAAAAGCAGTGAGATGGTAAAATTACTTTCAGTGAAGGTCTTGCCTAGTTCACATTACACTGCTAGACAACATACTGCATCAGTTACAGCAGCATGGCTATGAACTGATCTGCCTGCAGTCAAGACCTTTCACCGGTTGAAAACACTTTCACATGAAACAAAACTAAAACCTGAGACTGTTGAGTCGGTAGAATCCTATGTCACACAACAATACGACAACACTCCTCTTACAAAAGTCCATCGGCTGGTCTTTTGCTGGAAGAGGTTAACACAGCCCTGTCCAAAAATGTTTGAGATATGTTGCTGCCATCAAATTGAAAATGAGCAGAAAGTGGTACATCTAGTGACCACTCCTGACTAAGCTACTTTTGATAAACCGCATTCATTAAAAAGGCTTCCATCTGCATTGAAGTTTACTATTACACTTATTTGTTAAAAAATAACTGTAGTGAGTTTCCTGTCTCAGACTGACAGATGTGTTTTTTCTTGTCCTCCACTTATGCCTATCATCTGGCATTCTTTTTTACTCATTCACTAACTCGAGGCAACTACTTTTGTGATTTGGTGCTAAATAAAACTGAATTGAATTGAAAGAAAATTGAATAAACTGTTTCTTGCTTTCTTTCTTTAAACCATTGTCACTCCTGGGGACTTCCCTGGTTTCCTCCTCAGAAACTGTTGTAAGTTTCCTCAGTCAGAAATTGCAATGCTTTCTGGTTTAGCAGTGCAGAGCACAAGCCTCTTGACTTTGTATGTCTCTGATGCACTCACTCATTTTTGTTTCTTCCACGTATGATGGTAAGAAGAAATTGGGCAAGTGTGCATGTTTGAGAAACTCTGTAGACCTCAGCCAGGGGAGGCTCAGGTCAAGGTGAGAATTTCCAAAGTTGTGAGTGTTCTGGGAGCGCAATGGGAACAATAGCTCGGAACCACAAAGAATTTTTACACTCAGACCACAGTGAATAATGGAGCAAGAAAATGGTCTGTCAGAAAACCCTATACTTGGTTAAATGACCCTCACCAATTTGGTTTGATAATTTGGTTTATTAACCAATAAGTTTTTGGTATAATCCTAAAATGTATTTTTGGTAAGAGTTTGACATTTTAGGCTTGGTTTAAACATGAAGCTGGCTTTTCCTGACATGAAGCCTAGCACATACCACAGATTTCAGGTTCGGCTTTTGCAAAAGTTTAACTTCACCCTGCTGTAATCATTCCTGCTCTATCCATTCCAAAGCTAGCTTTAAGTTAACCAACATGTATTTTAAACCAAATAGGCATTGGTTTCAGGTTATACTGAAGACTTTAAGTCCTTGACTTTAGTGTTATGTTTGTCTTCCAGGAGCAGCAGATCAGTGAAGCAGAGGTTGCTTTGTTCTCAGTATCCAGCTATGCCTGTCAGAGACGAACCACTCTGGACAACCATAACAGCAACTTGACTGTAAGCCCTCCAACCCCCACCCCAAGCAAACACAGAAGTCTGATTTTAGGTGCCGTGTTAGCTAACACATATATCAGAACTGCATTTTCTGTCTCAGGATGCCTTGTCGCTTTTAGCTGAAAACGCTGAGCTCAATAATGAGGATGGACGAGGCGTTGCCTTTCGACGAGCTGCTGCCTTGTTGAAGGCGCTCCCCACACAGGTGATAAGCATGTCACAGCTCAGGGGTCTGCCTTGTCTTGGAGAACACTCACTTAGAGTTATAAAAGTAAGTGAAAATTTTTAGCATTCCATGCTCACTCCCTAACAAGATGTAGTAATCCAATTAAATTCTCTGGTCTTACAGGATGTTTTGGAGAATGGAGTGTCAAGTGAGGTTGAATCTACCAAGCAGTCAAAGCGGTACAAAGCACTAAAGGTATCTCAGGCATTTTAAAATCTGCTGCAGGTGTGTCCCCTTGTTAAAAAGCAGCTGTTAAAAATCTAAAGGGAATAGGTCCACTTTAGCTATCACTAGGAAATGAAATTATTCTTCTCCTTTCTAACTTAATACTTTTAACTCAAGCTCCTCATGTGTCCCAAGGGCTAGCACATTGTTGTAAAGTTTGAAGATGAAAATTGTTGGTAATATAAACTTTTTACACATTTTTACATTTGGTGTGACCTTGACCTTGATCCGATTTTCTCCAAAATTAAATCAGGTTGAGCTGTTATTGGTATCTACCATCACACAAAATTTTAAAATGATATCTTGAAAACTGTGGAACCTAGGCTGCTAACAAACAAATGGAGAAACAAACAAACTGAACCGGCTGCTTACTCCCTCCTTTTGGGGGAAGAATGTGTGAAACATTAAGCCAGAAGGATGGTGGGGGGATGCACACAGCCCAGTGTGAGATCAAGTAATGGGAAAGTTGAATAATGCAATAATGTAGGAGAGCTCAAGAAAACAAATATGAAAAAATGGGCCTAGTGGTCATAATTTACAGATATATGACACAATGATTTCTCATAGGTGTCTAAAACCTTACTCGATAGTAGTGATGTTAAAGTTGTTATAGTCAACAACATTGCTTACTAAATAACATTTAGTTAACACTTCTGCTTATTCATTTTATAGGTAAACATCCAAGTTCAAATTAACCAAGACACGGCTAGTTTTTAATTAGGATTTATCAAATGTCTGTGATGCTTTGTAGCATTAGAAAAGGCATTTCAAATTATATTATTAGTTATTGAAGTTATTGAGGGCTTTAATGTCAGAACCCTTACAGTGACAGTTTTGAAAAGCTGTCACTGACTGCATGGGAACGTTTTTTTCAGGTTGGAACATCCCACAATAGTCAAAACTTTAAGGGGTAAGATACAGAGATAAAAAGGCGAAGAAACAATTAAGTGTTGTGTTTGTTTTTAAATAAATGTATTTCAGATTTTGACTGGTATTTTTGGAGTTGGAGCCAAAACTGCTGACCGATGGATTAGAGCGGGAATATACAACCTTGAGCAGTTACGACATTCAGGACAAACACTTAATCGAGCACAAAAAGCAGGTTTGTTAGCTTTGTTTTTCTTGGCATTCTTGAATGAGGATAATTTTCTTACTATAATGATCATAGCAGGCGTATGTATGCTGTCTCCTCTTTAACTGGTGTCCAAGTTAAAGCATGTCAGGTGAGTTCTTGTGTCTTTGTGTGTCTGTCTCTCTTTTGAATGGGCCTTAAAAAAGTCATCATGTGTAATTCTTTTGACTTTTTTAAAAATTAAACCTTTCAGGCAGTTATTATATGTTTAGTCCAACTTCAGTCTACACATTTTAATTAAACTAAATATAGATAACTTGAGATTGTTGTCTTGAACAGTACTCTCTTTTAGTTTTGGGATTTTTTTGTTCATCAAACAAATGGTTTGACAAAGATCACCTGAGTAAATATAAAATGCAGTTTTTTAATATAAGGACTTTATTTATTAAGGGAAATACCTATTCAGACTGCTCTGGCTCTATGTGAAAAAATTATTGCCCCCTAAGACTAATAAGTGGCAATGAAACTTTCACGTTGCTGGGGTTAAATTAAAAAAAATTTAGCCTCATTGGAGAGTTTGCAAGCATGAGCGGCCTGTTTTAAGGTCAAGCCAGAATTTCTCAATCTGACTTGAGTCCAGACTTTGACTAGGACACTCCTTTTTTTTAATCCTGCTGCATAACCCAACTGACCTTGAGCTGCAGGGCATGACACTATGTGTGGCTAGACATTCTTCCGAGGGTTGACCAAGTGGTGGAGGCAGCAATATGTTGTTCTGAAAGCTGACAGTCCAGTCTTTTTATTCTTTCTTTCACATCCGTGATCTAATGTGTCATAATATGTGTCACAGTACAGCCAACTAAATAAAAACTCAAATTAGAAAGACTTTACTGAGAAACAAATGACAAATAACACCTGAAAGATGATCCTAATCTAAATAGAAACAACTCTGCAGTGGGCTAAACTACTGTAACGACGGCCCCTGATGTAAGCCACTATGGTCCACTCTCCATCGTGACTCGGCACACACTAGTCCTCGAGAGGAGTTGCAACCCCTGACTAAATAACCAGTGGCTCCTCCCACTCCTTGAATTAAATAGCAATTAAGAATTAAACAAATTAATAGCAATGCTCAATCTGTCATTCAAATATAATGATGATAAGTTAACAGTGAGAACATTAACACAAATATATTTAGAAAATTCCCCAACTCTAAACGTTCAACATCAAAAGATTCTTTAACCTCACAAAACCCCACCCCCACTTCACACTACACCTGGCACATTCCCTCCCAGGAACTTTACCATAAAAGGAGGCCAAAAAGAGCCAGACTTGTTTGGAAGTTCCTGTCTGGCCAGCTGGAGGCCTGGTGCAATCTGGAGGAGAGGTGAGAAACAAATTAGACATTAATCTTAAAAGAAAAAGAAATTCTTTGCATGATTTTTAAAAAATAATCTGGTAGCAATATACACAATAGTTAGATTGAAGGCACTGCAGCATGCTTAGAGTTCACAGACTCACTGTCATAATTATCTTTAAGCGTTTTCTGGTAGAGAGCAGAATTCATGTTCCATCAATTTCGGTCAGTCCAGGTCCTGGAGAAGCAAAGCAGCCCCATACCGTCACACTATCACCTCCATGTTTGACTGATCTTTTTATGAAAACCCCCAAACAGTTCAGCTCATCAGTCCACAGAATATTGTCGTAAAAGTCTTGGGGATCATCAAAATTGACAAAATGAGATGAGTCTAATATTAAAGATTTTTGACAGTCGCAATCACTTGTTAATGATAAATATGAAAAGAAGGATATCTGAGAAAATGTGGAAGTTGGGAAATACTTTTTAACAACATTGTGTAGCATTAAAAAAAAATAATGTGTTCACTTGGTTGCTTGGTAATTCGCCTTTCCTCATGTCTTATATAAAATAAAATTGTTACAAAATAATAAATACACTCTCATCATCAAGGTCTGGAGCACTACGATGACCTCAACGAGCCGGTCACTAAAGCAGAAGCGGATGCCATCGGGGAGATTGTGCAGAAAGCCGTCGATTCTGTGCTAACAGGATCACAGGTTGCTCTGAGCGGAGGATTCAGGAGGTGAAAGCACAAATATTCACACACAGTACATCTGATAGCACATTCAAAATCTTCACAGCCTAAAATATCTCAATGAGCTCTATATTGTCAAAATTATTGTTTATACGTGCGGTTTAAAGAAAATTTTATATGAGCAGCAAGTAAACACTTCTTGAACCAAATCAAATTTTAAACTTGCCCTCTGCAATTTAATAGAAATATGAACTGTGGTATTTTCACAGAGGGAAGCTGACGGGCCACGATGTTGACTTTCTGATAACGCACCCAGAGGAAGGCAAAGAGGTGGGACTGATGCCTAAAGTGGTCGCCTGGTTGGAATCACAGGTAACTTTTGAGACAATTTATATTTATTAAATCCTTTGAAACAAATCAACACACTTTCCTCTGGGGTTAAACTATTCTGATTCTGATTTTTACCTCTCAGTGGTAAAGGGCTGTTGGGATATTGTTGTCACCCTGGTGTGCAGGCGGCGTACACACCCAAGTCTGAATGTGATAACTTGATAATGAGGTGACATATGAGTATCAAATTGATGTAAAGGTGCATCTGCTAAATATCTGGGACATGTTTGAATCCTGGTGACCTTGAACCCAAGGTCAGAGGTCAGCTGTTTCCAGTGAATGACAGGCTTGAGCCTTAGTGGTTTCTGGATTGTTCCTAATCATCCTAAACAGTTTCCTCCCATCTGAGGGTGACAGTTTGGGTCTGTTCCAGATCTTGGAAAAGTGGTGACACGCCTGAAAATTTGTACTTGCATACAGTTGTTTGAACTGATGATCTTGGAATCTGCCATTATTCAGAAATGGCTCTAAAAGACCTTCACAATCTGTGGAAATCTACACTCTCCATTCGGAGTTTATATTACTTTCAGGTTGTTCTCACTGTTTTCAGTCCAATGAATACTGTTAAACAAGAACTTTTTTATGCTTCCAAAGAGAAAGTATCAGTTGTAGTAAGTCATGAAAATAAATTGTATAACCTTCAGCGCCACTTATTTAAAGCTTTAAGTGACTGTATGTGTGTATACATTTGAGTCTGTATATGTAATTTTGTCCCTCTGGATTTTAGAAAATTCAAAATGCATTTAAACTTGTGCATCCAATGCATGCTATGCAATCATTCACCCTGGAAAATGAATATTTCAAAGCAGTAATTGAAAGCTCTAAATTGCAGTGAATTCAGGTCCATGATGAGTTCATGTAAACTTTCCTCACAACTCTATATGACATATGATGTTTCTGATCTGAACTGGTTGTTGTCTATTCAGGGATTTCTGTTGTACCAGAAAACTACCAGAAACTCATACCTAGAGTCGAAGGATGGCCCTGCTCGGCCTGCCTCCAACATGGACCGCTTTGAAAGGTGTTTCTCCATCTTTAAACTGACCAAAGGGAAGGAACAAGAAAGCACGCAGCCAGAGGAGCAAAATGATCTGAAAATCAAGGACGTTCTCAGACCTCACATGCAGGCAGACACAGATCAACAATTACGTGAGCTCAGTAAGAATTACCAGATGGAAGCTGCATCACACAAAATATGGAGAGCTGTGAGGGTGGACCTGGTGGTCTCTCCGATCAGCCAATTTGCTTTTGCTGTGCTGGGCTGGACCGGATCCAAGGTGATCGCTCACGCCTGGCCTTTGTCCTCTTTCAAAAACTATCGCCTCCTTCTTTTTCCCTGCTTTTCTATGTTATATTGTTAAATGTACTTTCTGTCTGTGCAGTTGTTTGAGAGGGAGCTGCGACGTTGGGCTGGGCACGAGAAGAACATGTCTCTGAGCAGTCACGCCCTATTTGATAATACACAGGTAAATCGAAAATAGAAAAATAAAGCCTTTTTTTTGTAGTGTTGGCGATTAGAGAGTCTATTTTTAAGATATCCTTTATTAGCTTTGCTCATTGTTGAAGCTCGGAGCAGAAGTGCTCTTGAGATATTGTTGAGGCAAGGCAGTACTCTGAGCACTAAGAAACACATTTGGATTTCAGCAGGAAGTTTGTCCCATGCTCTTTACATAGAAATCACTCCACAAACTGTTAGAAGCAACAGATCTTTTGCTTCTAACAGGAAAGTCTTTTTTAAGTTAAAAAAGTGGCTGCGTGAGTGATTGGGTCTGTTGTGGAGGGCCGCAACAATAAGTGGGACTCAATTCTGTTCAGTATTAATTTTCTCTTTTCTCTTAAACGCATTAACCCTTCACTACACTTCCAGTTTCTCATGCGAACCCTTGAGAAAAAAAGAATTGCGCCCCCCCCCCTTTTTTTTTTTTTCATGCCAACCACTTCTACTTCTTCCTTTAAGTGCATATTATACCTGCCATTAATTAAATGAAGATGGCGTGATGGAATCATACTTGTTTTCCTTTTGTACAGAATAAATATCTGAGAGCTACATCAGAGGAGGAGATATTTGCTTATCTTGGTCTGGAGTACATCCCTCCATCAGAGAGAAATGCTTGAAGTGGCCTGATCAGCTGCTAGACTGCAAGAGCTGGAGGGCAGAATAAATGCTTCTGTTGGAAGGGCGGCATCATGGCATGGAGTTGCTGTGTAACTACTAAAGAAATATTATATGATTGAACTCAACGATGACACCCACTCAGCTGACTGAAATCTTCTTATTGCATGAATACAGAATTTTATTTATTAATGAAATCCACTGACCAGAACTGAACCTGTTTAGTTTTTTTTTTTTTTTTTTTTAATAAATGTGAAATTTATAATTGAAAGAGTGAAAACAAACCTTGCTTCCAGTCACAGTGTAATTTCAGAAATTTTACAGACTTCCTATTTACATATAATTTATGAATTTTTGGGCGACAAAACGTACACAAACAACTGATATGCGATAAGGAATATATGATTATAGAATTTTATAGATTTTATGAGTGCAGGAGCCGTCAAGTGGCTTTATAGTCATTTCAACCATGTGCAGTGGTACAGTACACAGTGAAACGAGACAGTGCGCCTCCAACACTATGCTGCTACATATAACTTATAAGGCACAATCAACACAGGACTACATAACGTGCAACACCAGACACAACACATTGCAGACACAACAGTGCAATAGAAAGGTGCAACAATGACAGTAGGTTGTGCAAAAAAGAACTTGATGTATGAAAGTTTGTGTGTACATGACACTGCGCAGATAAATGCTTGAGGTGGTGACATGTATAAACGTATGTGTGTGTGTGTGTGTGTCAGTCCAGTCACTGATTCTATAGGAGTCTGACGGCTTGGGGGAGGAAACTGTTTTGCAGTCTGGCAGTGAGGGCCCAAATGCTCCGGTACCTCTTGCCACATGGCAGCAGGGTGAAGAAGCTTTTACAACAGGGCAATAGGGCCCTAATCAATGCTAACAGCCGATCTTATTGGCTACCTCCCTGGACTTTTTGGGGGGGCAATAACAATAATAATAATAACGATATGCAATAAGGCTGCATTTTTTCACACATCTTGTATTTTTGTGCCGCTCACATAAACCTTACTCAGAGGATTGAAAACTGTTATGTTTTATGTAAAGACAAAATGGCTGTTAGGTTTATTTCACCACATCCACACCTGTGTCACGATGACCTACATTCAGCAGCATCCTTATCACCTTATCTGTACATATAGCTGAAAAGAAACCCACTCAGCTGTTCTGAGAATATACAGTGTGAGATCTCGCATGTGAATTAAACATTTGCGTTGGAGTGTTTCCATATCAGTTCTTCTTCTGTTCAACCACACTAAAGATAGACTGCAGTTTTTAGTGCAATACATTGTGCACTACTGATAGATATAAAAGGTTCAGGAAGACCTGCTTGTTTTTATTTTCTGATATACAATATATACTGTTACAGTAATGCTTCTCATGATAAATATGTCTCGATGCATTTTCAATCATTCAGGTAAAGAAATTCCAACTCTGTTCGAAACGTTTGATTAGCACTGTTGCCTCACAGCAAAAAGGTCCTGACGTGCACTTAGTGGGGTTTGGTTAACTGGTGATTCTAAATCACCCATAGGTGCGAATGGTTGCCTGTTTCTCTGTGTGACATACTTGTGGTCTGTCCAGGTTGTATCCTGCCTCTCACACTATGGGAAGCTGTTCCAGATGTCACTGACAACGGTTATCTCCAGTATTGTAATCTCAGAAACATATCTCTAACTGTGAGCAAGAAAGTCCCACCCACCTGCTGTTTGAAACCACATGTTTGTGAGGAATCATAAGAAGGTTGGCTTAAAGAGGAGCTAACAGAGCTCTTTCTGGATAGTGGATGAGATGGGAGTCGGGAAGGGTTTGACAGCAGGCTTTGTTTCTATTTCTACTTTTTGAAACTCCCGGAATGACAATTAAGCCTGTATTTTTCAGAGGCCTGCAATAAAAAAAAGAAGTTGTTTTAAATCTAAGAACCAGATTTTCAGCATCACACTGAGGCAGGATGTTTCTCATTTAAATTTGTTTGCACTTAAAGAAGGAAATCCTGGGTATTTGTGTAATGAGCATGCTGAAAGTCATATCCCGGTCAAAAGTTACTCCAAACTTTCTCAGTGTTCTTGCAGGCCAAGGTAATGTCACCCACAGTAAGTGTGTTGTGGAACCTCTTTACACAGGTACTCTGTAACCTACACCCTAACCCAGGGGTGGGCAACTCCAGGCCTCGAGGGCCAGTGTCCTGCGGGTTTCAGATATCACCGTGGGTCAACACAACTGAATCAAATGATTAGTTCATTACCAGGCCTCTGGAGAACTACAAGACATGCTGTGGAGGTAATTTAGCCATTTGAATCATCTGTTACTTTGGATAACACCGGCCCTCGAGGCCTGGAGTTCCCCACCACTGCCTTAACCTGATATGGACCTCCCTGGTAATGTAACTGCACTTTTCATCATTTCCTGCTATAATAAGGACTCACATATATCAGCAAATTCCTGGAGAGAGACTGCTGAAACTATTGGAATGAATGTGAATGTGTGTTATAAAAAAAGCCAACAAAGGATGTGGCCAAGGGGGGAAAACGGTCCCAATATTTGTTTCTATAAAAACTTATAAAACATCTGGATGTAACCACAAGGTAATTGACAAATAAGAATTCACAAGAAACGATGATACACAAGGATACAGGTGAGGTTCATTCAAATTCAAAACAGAAAATGAACCACGAGAGGTCACACAAATAAAACTACGCTTTAAAATATACAAAAAAGAAAGATTCAAAAGCAAAAGAAAGAACCAGCTAAATGTAAAATAAAGCAACACAGGGGTATGTTAACACAAAATCTAAACAATATACTTTGGAAAGAAAAATTCAACATTCATTATATGAACTAAAATGAGACAAAACCCACTGCAACACTATGGAGCAATTTATGTGAAGACTTTCTGCAAAAATCCAAATAATGTGACTTTTATGTAGACAGGGTTGGAATAAAAATGATCAATACTTCAGTGAAATTACTCATTTATAATAATAGCACTACCCACTGTACTTGCTACAGTGGGTAGCTAAATAAGGATTTTGACTGAACCCCCTGTTTGCTAACTCAGTTTATCCTTTGTCCCTAAATGTTATTTTGATGAGTGATTAATATACATATGGACACTGTCACTAATACTAATACTATGATACTATACAAGGGTCCTTGCATCATGTCTTGAAAACTCTAATGAGAAACTCTAATGTTCTCGATCTTATCTGTTGTTCTAGCGTTATTCCTCAACATTAAGAACACTGATATAACTGGCTTCTTCAGTGAAGTTGACAGTCTTCCTGATGATAGACAGGAATAGATAAATGATTCTCCATCACAGGGTTTTACTACTAGAATGGAATAAACAGTCTGCTGGATGCTTTTGCACCTTTGAAAACTTCTCACTGTGTTACTTCAGAATTGCACCAACATAAAGCTAAAGGAAATCACCCTTTTCTCTAAACAGCATCCTTCAACTACCTGACATTTTTTCCACCTCTGTTTTACTGCCCTGAGCAGTGTAATACTTTTATGGTCTTAATAATATTCACTGTTTGATGAACCATTTGGATTTACTAAGAAATCTAAACCTTCTGCTGCATGTAACCCTGACCCACTTTCATGTGGTTAAGTTCTGCTTATTCTCTCTCGCTTCTTTAATAATTAACATCATACAGTCTTCTCTAATCTCTGGCTTTGTCTTTCTAGAAAAACAAACAGTTGCAGTACAAATTTACAAATTCACTCTCACCTTACATCATCCCTGTCAGTCGTTTTTGCGTTTGAACAACTTGAGTCTGTTTTTTTTTCACAGTACACAGTATTATTATTTCAGTGCTAATTTAAAAACTCACATATTTGGACAATCTATATTCTTCTACCACAAAAACATACAAGTGTTCACTGAAGTAAATACACAGCATAGTAGTGGATTTTTTAAAATGTGTTTATGTTATATTTATATATAAAATAAACACATATTTGTATATTTTATCTTCATTTTGATTTGCCGCTAACGGCCTTGCTTTTATTTGTGGTTTTTGTAGTAGGGAGAACTAAAAAACTGCAATCATTTTTCTTTAAAAAAGTGCAGTTAACAAATGTAGTGCTCTCTACTATGTGAACCCATCACCTGAATTTTTAGGTTTTTCATTTCAAGTCAATTAAATTAAATCAAAAAAAAAAAATCAAGTGATCCCCTATGAGCAAGCACCAGGCAACAATGGAAAAGAAAAATTCCCTTTTAACAGGAAGAAACCTACGACAGAACCAGGCTCAGGGAGGGGTGGTCTTCTGCCATGACTGGTTGGGGGGTGAGGGGCAAAATAAAACTGAACATAAAGGAAAGCACAGCATATTTAAGACAGGTGGAAAACTAGAAAACATTATTACTGCTTTTAAAAGGTAACTGGTCCACATCCACAATTACAGTAGGGCTGAAGTAGATAATAAACATGATCCCACAGAGAACTGCAGGACATTCACTTCAGCCGAAAAGCTTTGAGATGGCCCAGCAAGCTGCAGGAACAACAATGGCCGCTGTGGCAAGACCTAAACCTACTTTAAGTAGGCATTTGGGACCATGACACCATGAACCACGGGTCTCAGCCTCCTCAGTATTGACATTTTTTTCAACTGTTATTTTATGCATGGTCTGATTTGAGCATTTAATTTCTTGTAAGGCGTGCTTACAAGATGAGTGCCTTGAGTGCCTTACAAGGTGCCATTAAATAAAATGCATTATTATTATTATTATTATTAGTAGTAGTAGTAGTAGTTGTAGTAGTAGTAGTTGTAGTAGTAGTAGTAGTACTTATGTTGGACTTCTTTGTTGGAAGCCACACTGACTCACTACACCATCTTGTGGTTCTAAACAGAATTATAAGGATATTGCCCGTTCTACTACAACTTCAGTCTCTGCACATCTCTGCAACACTATACATATGATCTGATGGGCCCTAGTTTACTTTTTTTTTTTTT